CTTGCCTCCTTCCCTATCTTGGGGTGAAAGCACTCTATCTTCACCATGAAGTATGATATTAACAGTAGGTTTATCTTAGATGCCTTTTATAAGGTAGAGGAAGTTTCTTCAATATCTAGTTTGCGGAGAGTTTTTATCAAAAACGGACATTGGATTTTTTTCTGTATTTATTGAGATTATCTTTTTGTTTTTTTAGTTTTTACTCTGTTAATATGCTGAATTGCCTCCTGGGTTCAAGTGATTCTCCTGCCTCAGCCTCTTACATGTCTTCTATGTTTCTGTTCAACGTGTTTAATCTTTCCTTCAGCTTCTCGGAAATACAGAGTGCCATGTGATCATGGTTTTAAAGTTTCTGACTGCTCATTTTTTAATGTGTCATTTCTGGATCCATCTCCATTGTTTGAGTTTTCCCATTATAGATTGTGTTTCTTTGCCTCTTTGCATGCTTGGTGATTCTTTTTCTCTTTAAAGATAATTTATTTTTTCCTGGCCAGGCGTGGTAGCTCACACCTGTAATTCCAGCACTTTAGGAGGCTGAGGCGGGCAGATCACTTGAGGTCAGGAGTTCCAGACCAGCCTGGGCAACATGGAGAAACCTGTCTCTACTAAAAATACAAAAATTAGCCAGGTATGATGGTGCGTGCCTACAGTCCCAGCTGATTGGGAGGCTGAGGCAGGAGAATCGCTTGCACCCAGGAGGCGGAGTTTGCAGTGAGCCAAGGTCACACCACTGTACTCCAGCCTGGGCGACAGAGTGAGATTCCGTCTCAAAAAAAAAAAAAAAATTGTTTTTTCCTGATCACAAAATACAGGGAGGGAGGAGCAAGGGCAATCCTGTAATCCCATGGCTGCGTCTTGTGAGTCTCTGCATCTATCCTGCACAACACCAGGCTCAGGCTGTACCCACAAATGCTTTCTCACATTCCAGCGGCTGCAGAGTGTAGTATATGACAAAGGGGGAGCTTTATTTAATTAATTATATATATACATATATATTTTTTGAGATGGAGTCTCACTCTGTCCCCTAGGCTGGAGTGCAGTGGCGCGATCTTGGCTCACTGCAACCTCTGCCGCCCGAGTTCAAGCGATTCTCCTGCCTCAGCCTCCCAAGTAGCTGAGATTACAGGTGCACATCACTGTACCTGGATAATTTTTGTAGTTTTTAGTAGAGATGGGGTTTCACCATCTTGACCAGGCTGGTCTTGAACTCCCGACCTTGTGATCCACCTACCTTGGCCTCCCAAAGTGCTGGGATTGCAGGCATGAGCCACCACGCTCGGCCTGTTTGTTTATTTTTTGAGACAAGTTTTCACTCTGGTGTCTAGGCTGGAGTGCAGTGGCGCCATCACAGCTCACTGCAGCCTCGACCTCCTGGGCTCAAGCAATCCTCCTACCTAGTCTCCTGAGTAGCTGGGACTACAGGCACACACCACCATGCCTGGCTAATTTCTTGACTTTTTCTGTAGAGACAGGGTCTCCCTATGCTGTCCAGGCTGGTCTTGAACTCCTGGGCTCAAGCGATCCTCCCACCTCAGCCTCCCAAAGTGCGAGGATTACAGAGGTGAGCTATTGCACCCTGCCCAGCAGGACTTTTTTTGTTTTATTTTTGTTTTTTAGATGGAGTCTCATTCTGTGGCTCAGGCTGGAGTGCAGTGGCACGATCTTGGCTCACCGCAACCTCTACCTCCTGGGTTCAAGAAATTCTCCTGCTTCAGCCTCTCTAGTAGCTGAGACTACAGGTGCTTGCCACCATGCCCAGCTAATTTTTGTATTTTTAGTAGAGACAGGGTTTCATCATGTTGGTGAGGCTGGTCTTGAACTCCTGACCTCAAGTGATCTGCCTGCCTAGGTCTCTCAAATTGCTGGGATTAAAGGCATGAGCCACTATGCTTTGAATGTTTTTTTTTTTTTTAAGACGGAGTCTCACTCTGTCATCCAAGCTATGGTGTGCTTGTGTGATCTCTGCCTCCCAGGTTCAACCGATTCTCCCACCTCAGCCTCCCAAGTAGCTGGAATTTCAGGCATGCACCACCATGCCTGGCTAATTTTTTGTATTTCTAGTAGAGACATGGTTTCACCATGCTGGCCAGGCTGGTCTTGAACTCCTGACCTCAGGTGATTCACCTGCCTCAGCCTCCCAGATTGCTGAGATTGAACCACCAGGCTTGGCCTATTATTTGTTCTTGACGGAACTTTAGAAGTAAGACAAAATAAACATCTTTGTTTAAGAATCTAATTGGAAATTAAATTGACTTTCAGATTAGAATGAATGATTACTCAGGCAAGTTGCTCTCATGCCCTGATCAGCATTAAATGACCCATTGAGGAAAGTGCATCCTTTCTCCTTCTGATTCCCAGATCCAGTCTCCTGGGTACAACATACTCACTGTAAGCCAGGTAAGCCATTGGTAAGAAAAATGAGATGTGGAGAAGCCCCAGGCTCATTGTGATTTATATCCAAGAGGCAGTAGATGGATGCCACCGTGACAAGGCTTGACTCTACAAATACTAGCCTAGAAGCTTCTTTATTATTATCATTATTATTATTATTTGAGATGGAGTCTTGCTCTCTCATCCAGGCCGGAGTGCAATGGGGCGATCTCGGTTCACTACAACCTCCGCCTCCCGGGTTCAAGCAATTCTCCTGCCTCAGCCTCCCAAGTAGCTGGGATTACAGACATGCGCCACCACACCCAGCTAATTTTTGTGTTTTTACTAGAGACAGCCTTTCACCATGTTGCCCAGGCTGGTCTTGAACTCCTGACCTCATGATCCACCCTCCTTGGCCTCCCAAAGTGCTGGGATTATAGGCGTGAGCCACCGCATCCAGCCTAGAAGCTTCTTAAGAGGCAGAGTTTTCGTTTCTTTTCATTGGCAGTTCCAGTTTTAGGCCTTGTGTATTTTGAGACACCTGACTGTCACATGGATTGCTGAAGAATGAAGAATGGCCTTTCGTTGTTAGGTCTGTAGACTATAGATCTATTACTCTGTACAGGACGTTGCCCAGGGGTTTAAGCGTCTCTGACACCAGTGGCTGAGATGCAGATAAAAAAAGGCTTCTGCTCTAAGGATGAGCACCGAAGTGTTGTTTTATCTAGCCCCCTCACCTTCACTGGTGCCATCCCACTCTCGGGAAATTGCGCAGTGTTGGCCTCGGGGACGCCAGAAGTCAGTGAGGAACAGATCTTTGTAAGCAGCCCCTCGGCGGGGAGAAGGCAAGGGCTGCCTGGTTTGCACCGTGGAGCTACAGGCATAGTCTTCCTGTGGCCACGCCAAAGCCTGAAGTGGCCCACGTGTCCTGCGATCCCTCAGTCCTTCGGAGACTATAGGGACCTGTGCTATAGCGATCACGTGACTTCCAGGAACTGATTTTTCTGGCATGGCTGAATATGTGACAAAATATTTACAAGTTTCACCATGGATGTTTTCTCATTCAGTGGATATTTGTTGCATAAGCAGACCCATTAAGCATCTCCGAAGAGAAAGATGTTTCTGCTCTTAGAAAGATTGTACCTTTGGGCAGCAACCCCACTTGTTTGGAGCATAAGCAGCTCACAGGGCAAGAGGCTCAGATATCTTTGCAGCTGACTCAGTTTAGCTCTTCCTTGATAGCCACAGCGAGTCCAGGAGTCGGAACGCACAGTGAAAGTGGGATGGGAGGCTGGGCACGGTGGCTCACGCCTGTAATCCCAGCTCTTTGGGAGGCGGAGGTGGGTGGATCACCTGAGGTCAGAGTTTGAGACTAGCCTGACCAACACGGAGAAACCCTGTCTCTACTAAAAATACAGAATTAGCCAGGTGTGGTGGCACATGCCTGTAATCCTAGCTACTCAGTAGGCTGAGGCAGGAGAATCACTTGAATCCAGGAGGCGGAGGTCGTGGTGAGCAGAGATCACACCATTGCATTCCAGTCTGGGCAACAAGAGTGAAACTCTGTCTCAAAAACAGAAAGAAGAAAGGAAGGAAGGGAGGGAAAGGAAGGAAGGGAGGGAAAGAAAGAAAGAAAAAAGAAAAAGAAAGAAAGAAAAAGAAAAAAAGAGAGAAAGAAAGAAAAGAAAGAAAGGGGGGTCGGAATGGGGAGCTTGGCCTTCTGCATGCCCTGCCCATAAATGATGGTAACGACAATAACCACACGGCTTTATGTGCAGTATTTCATTTACTCCTCGACAAATCTAGATAAAGGTATTAATGTCCCCCTTTTTTTAATAGATGATAAAACTGGGGCTCAGGGAGGTTAAATGACTTGCCGGAAGCCACACAACAAGGAGGTGATTTGAAACCAGGCATACCCATGATCTGAACTGATAAACTACTCTCGGAATTGAGTCACTTTCTCTCTCTCTTTGGGGTCGTGCAGTTTGCCTTTACGTATTTGAGGAGGAAATTGAACAGGATGATTTCTAGTGCTCACATGCTGGGCTGCTTTGATTTGCTCGTGGGCCAGCTCTGCTCAGTGCCACGGCCAAAGGAGGGACGCCTCCTCCCTGAACACACATTTCCCAGCCAGCAGCACCCTGGGTGAGGAAAGGGCCTGGGTGCTGAGTGCACGGCTGGAGTAGCCCAGAACATCCGCCTCAATTGCCGTGCCTGCTGTGCCCTCGGGGGCTGGCAAGGCGCTGCACCCAGGAAGCGCGGTGTGTCAATGACTGCTCTTGAATGCCAACCACCAGGCCCACCATCTGTGCCGCTGGCAACCACATGGTAGCGTCTGACTCTGCCCGGCTTGAATGACTGGATGTGTTTATTCCTGTTTCCAGAGGGGTTCAAAATAAAAAAAGAGGCAGGGCATGGTGGCTCATGCTTGTAATCCCAGCACTTTGAGAGGCTGAGGCGGGTGGATCGCCTGAGGTCAGGGGTTCATACTGGTCAGGTCAGCCTGGCCAGTATGGTGAAACCCCGTGTACTAAAAAATACAAAAATTAGCTGGGCGTGGTGGCGGGCCACTGTAATTCCAGCTACTCGGGAGGCTGAGGCAGGAGAATCGCTTGAACCCAGGAGGTGGAGGCTGCAGTAAGCTGAGATTACATCACTGCACTCCAGCCTGGTCAACAGAGCGAGTCTCCATCTTAAAAATAAATAAATAAATAAATAAATGAAAAAGAGGATTCTGAAGACAAGAGCCAGTGGTCAGTGAGGTCAGGAGGACAAAAACCCCAGCCCGAGGCGCACTGGGGAGGAGGTTGTGGGCACTACCACAGCTCAGAGGGGCCATCGCTGCCACCCAGACGACGGTCAATGGAGGGACTTGGCTCCCTCAAGGCCCAGCCAGGGTCCCGGGCACGAGAGACAGCAGGTGGGATTCAGGCCGCTCCATCCAATCACCTGTCTGTAGAACCTTGTAACATGATGATGGCACTTTCATTTCCCGACACTGGGCCGAATCTGGGTTCTCTAAAACTGAGAATGACAGTGATTTAAAAGCAAATATCCAAGACTGGAGAGTCTGACCGCTCCTGAAATGCTGGCTGGTGACGGTCAAGCTGCTGCATCCACTCAGCCTCTCCTGTCAGCTGTAGCCAGTGACTCGGAACTGCCTGCCGGCCTTTCTGCACTCCCCCCCCGCACCCCGCACTTCCCAGCGGCCAGAGTGCTCTGGGACAGAGCACAGGTAAGTGGTGGGGCCAGGGCTTTGGAGGGATGCGAGCATGCACCTACTGTCTCCCCTGCCGCAGGGACAGAAAGCTGCAGACTGGACAGTGGGACGTGCATGGTCCTTTCCTGGGGGCTGGCCCTTTGTGGGTCCCTGCGCCCCATTCCTGAAGTGAGTGTTGCCAGTCAGCCATGGGATCAAGGAAGACTTCGTGGGGCACTGGGGTCCGTCTGCTGGGGCCTGGGTCTCTCCCTGTGAAGGCAGGAAAACCACCGTGAGATCAGTGACTGTGCCAGGCACTGCCCTGAACCCTGTGAGAGCCCTGCCCTGTGAGGCACACGGTATCTGCCCTGTTTTCGCTGGGGGCAGATGGGGCGACTTACTCTGCTGGTGAGTCTCAGAGGATGGCCTCCTCCCCAGGGCCTCCTGCACACAGCCTGCACTATTCATCACTCACCTCGCTCTCCTGCCCTAGTGTGTTCCTGGGATGAGACCCAGAGGACCCTGGAAAGGGTGGGGGAGCCCTGGCCTTGCTGCACAGCTCTGGTGCCACCAGCTGGCCCCGTGCCCTTGAGCTATCTGAATACCCCCTACCCCTTGTCATCTCCTGCTGGGGTCTGGCTTTTGAACAAGTCTTGTCTTCCTTCTAGGAAGTCGTGCTGGGAGTCATTTATCAACAGTTCCTGACTTGCCCTGCCCTGGCACTGTCCCCACGGAGCTGCCTGTCGCTGGGACTGACTATAGATGAATGAATGAAACCACCAACTACATGAGCAATCACAATTGCGATGGAGACCTCAGAACAGCAGCACAGCAGGACAGGGGGTACACAAAGGGAGCCGGTGCCTGTGAGCCGGTCAGGCCACCAGGAAGGCTCTGCGGGAGGGAGGTGGCTCTTCAACGGACACCTGCAGGATGAGCAGGAAGGGACGGAGGGTGGAGTGGCCTGCAGCGAGGAGGAGAATGGGCCATTTGAGGAGCAGTGGGGCCTGGAGAGCCTCGGGGAGAGTGAGACACCAAGAAGGGAAAGAGGCAGAGCAGGGCCAGACGGCAGGGCCTGTAGGCACTGTGGGGGCTGCGGGGCAGCCAAGTCCCCTTCTAGCCTTCCAGATGGAAAGGCATCTAGGCAAGGCCGAGAAAGCCAACATCAATGTGCCACAAAGCAAAACTGCTTCTGCACCCTCGTGGGCCAAGACGCCAGCAAGGTGGGGTCACCTCCAGCCAGGGCCGGCCTCGGCTTTTGCCATGTGCTGGGGCTCCCGCTTTCCATCCATGGCCCATCCGCTCCCCCCACCCCCTGCCTGTGGCCTCTGCAGTTGGCAATCTAGGCCTGAAAACAATGTAGAGAATCTCCGGCTTGCCGGGGCTGCGGTATGGACGGGCTTCTATTTATAACAATGTAGCAACTGCCACCTCAGTGGGCCTGTGGCCTGACCTCCGGTGGGACTCTGGCAAGCCTCAAAGCCAGACCCCAGAGGAGACGGCAGAGGAAAGGCAGATGACACAGCTGAAGGGCGTGGAGCCAGCTGCTCCCACCCTGACGTCCGCCCAGCAAACTCTGGTCCGTGTGTGGCTCACGCCAACGTAAGCTAGACAGGCCCAGCCTCTGCCCAGGCCCCCTGGCTGCTGTTGTAGAGAGACTGTGACCACAGAGACCAACAGGCGAGAGGCAGAGGAGGGGACAGGTAACTGCATGGTGTCAGGGTATTTGCTGTGACTGATGTCAGGGCCGGCTTGTTTTCACAAGGTGGTCGGCCAGTGGGTAAGGGGCTTGGCAGTGTTGCTGGCACGAGCTGGCAGGATTTCTTTGGAAATGAACAGGTATCTTGGAGAAGAAGAATCAGGAGAGCCAATAGTAGCCAGCCCGGGCCTGGCAGGAGCCAGAGACGAGCACTGCCTGGGCCCCAGTGCCGGTTCCGTCCTCTCATTCTCTTGAGAGTTGGGCAAACCGCTTCCTCGCTCAGCCTCATTTCCTCATCTGAAAGCTGTGGGTTACAGTACGTGGCTCACAGGGTGAAATGTGAACATGTCAGTGAAGTGCTCATCCAGTGAATTGCTACTATTATAAAGCGATTTTAAAAAAGGAATGTGTGTTAGCAACACAACCAGCAGGACATAAGCTGTGCTTCTGACCAGCCACACCCACGATGCAGCTGTTCCCAGCCCAAGTGCTAATGACCCGGACTCCAAGGAGAAAGGTTCCCTGGCAGACGCATGCATTCGGGAAATGGCAGACTGTTTCCTCTTACTGATTTACAAGGCATATTTGCATATTAAGGGCTCAAAAAGGTATTTTTTTTAACAATAAAAATATATCGTTTGTTCCATCCACTCTTCCTAAACTTATGTGGCCATGGAGCACGCGTCCCCAGCTTATTTTTTGTACAATACTGACTTCCCATAGGAGACATTTTGAAAACGGCAGAAGTTTGGGAGTTGATACACCCTCCATCCAATCACTCCTCCTCCTTTCCCCAGGAGGAAAGTAGAGGGTGATGCTGAGAGAGAGCAATGGGGATGCACACGCAGGTGTGTGACCAGCTGGCAGCCTAACCCTCATCCCTGCCTTCCAGCCAGGGTGCTCCACAACCTTCCTCGGAGAAAGTTTGGGCAAGAAGCTCCATTTCTGGCATGAAACTGGGCCAGTTTTGTTGGCTAAAAATCAAATGCCAAAAAGGACCAGACAGGTCTTCTAATAGAAATTACAGGCCGGGCACGGTGGCTCATGCCTGTAACCCCAGCACTTTGGGAGGCCGAGGCGGGAGGATCACGAGGTCAAGAGAGCGAGACCATACTGGCTAACATGGCAAAACCCCACCTCTACTAAAAATACAAAAAAATTTAGCCCGGCGTGGTGGTGGGTGCCTGTAGTCCCAGTTACTCGGGAGGCTGAGGCAGGAGAATTGCTTGAACCCGGGAGGTGGAGGTTTTGGTGAGCTGAGATTATGCCACTGCCACTGCATTCCAGCCTGAATGACAGAGCAAGACTCTAAAAAAAAAGAAAAGAAAACAAAAAAAAGAAAAGAAAGAAAAGAAAAGAAAAGAAAAGAAAGAAAAGAAAAGAAAGAAAGAGAAGAGAAGAGAAAAGAAAGAAATTACAAAGGGGGCCAGGTGTGCTGGCTCACGTCTGTAATCCCAGCACTTTGGGAGGCCAGAGGGTGGATGGCTTGAGCCCAGGAGTTTGGGACCAGTCTGGGCAACATAGCAAGACCTCCTCTCTACTAAAAACACAAAAAATTAGCTGGGTGTGGTGGGGTACATCTGTAGTCCCAGCTACCTGAAAGGCTGAGGTGGGAGGATTGCTTGAGCCTGGGAGGCAGAGGTTACAGTGATCTGAGACCGTGCCACTGCATTCCAGTCTGGTGACAGCCAGACCCTGTCTAAAAAAAAAAAAAAAAAAAAAAAAATTACAAATGAGAATCTATAGGGGTTAAAAGATGGAGAGCCCACTCAACGGATGCCAGGGCCCCTCCTTCTCTGACATAGTAATTTGAAATAAACAACTGGCTGGACACGGTGGCTCATGCCTGTAATCCCAGCACTTTGGGAGGCTGAGGCAGGCAGATCATGAGGTCAGGAAATCAAGACCGTCCTGGCTAACCAGGTGAAACCCTGTCTCTACTAAAAATACAAAAAAAAAAAGAAAAAAAAAAATTAGCTGGGTGTGGTGGTGGGCGCCTGTAATCCCAGTCACTCGGGAGGGTGAGGCAAGAGAATTGCTTGAACCTGGGAGGTGGACGTTGCAGTGAGCCGAGATCACACTACTGCACTCCAGCCTGGACAACAGAGCGAGACTCCATCTAAAAAAACCCAACTAAGTGGCAGTCGAGAAACCAAGCTGCTGTTAGGGGGATTCGCAGGTGGGATGAGGGCAAGGAAGGTCTTTCTTCCTCTGTTAGGGGAATTTGATGCGACTGATGAACCCTCCAGGGTTCAAAGTGTTTGGCTGGCAAGGAGGTTATTTGGCCACTTGTACCTTCACTTTTTCTTTTTTGAGCAGGTGCCAAAGAGCAGCTTAAATCTACACTTGGGTCTCTTATCAACAATTTCAGATAAAATCCCTTAGCCTGGATTAACTGCAAAATAAACATGTCCATGGAGTTAGGTTCTGTTCTTCAGATGCCCCCTGGGTATTTATGGCTACTGTCCTTAAGACCGAAGGCCCATGGGGTTCATGGATCATCTGTACAAGAATCACCCTCTTTAGGAAAAACAGATTCAAGGGCCTGGCCCAGCCCTGGTGAAGAATCTCCAGTGAATGCCTGAGCACAGCATTGCAGCTGCACCACTCCCCAGCAGTGCGGTCCTGTGTTTGACAAGGGACCTGAAAGCCAGGTGGGAGATGCTCCCATCCCCCAAAGCAGATGAAGTCAAAGTGGGAACCGACTTGCAGCCATTTAACCTGGATGTCAGGCAAGAGCCTGCAGGTGAGGGTAACAGCATCGCCAAGACTGGGAAGCAGCTTTGTGCCAGGTGCACCTCGTTTAGTCCGAACCACTACTCTGCCAGGCAGGTATTCGAATTCTACTTTACAACTGAGGGAAAAAACCCTCCAGACACAGAGGCCAAGTGCCTCATTCTGGTTACAGAGCTGGTGAAGTTTAGGGTTAGGCAGCCTGCATGGTGCACTCTCTTTCTGTGATGCCAGACACTTGACCTAGAAGCCTCTCTGGAGGCCGTCAGAGAGAATGCAAAGCTGAAAGCCGGCAAAGGACACTCACAGGCAGGCAGGGCTGTGCAGAGCGGACCACTGGCTCGGCCGCCTCACCATGCCACGGGACTCATATTTTTGCCCAAATGAGAGGCCGGGATTGTGGGTGTCGTGTAACTGGGGTTCTACCTGTCCCTGAGGAGCCCCATTTGACCTCTATCCCTGTGTTGCCATCTGAAGCACCAATTACCAGTGTGATATTTGTGTCTGGAAAAGCCAAGCAAAACATGACCGAGCTCATTCAGTCTGCCTTCCCCCGGTTCCTTCCTGAGTTATGCGGAGCAGAAACATAAATGAAACTACCTGTGCTGGCCACTGCACACATGCCCCAGGAAGGCTGTGCGGGCATCCTTGGGCCCTTCTTGTCACTGGGACACAGGACCCCACACACATCCGGGCTCTTTGCCTGCCCTGATTTGGAGGCGGCTGAAGCCCCATCTCCTCCCTGGACAGGCAGGAACGACTGTGCATTCCAGCCAGACATCCTGGCAGCTCGGGTGTCAGGGGATGTAGGCTGAGCTGACCCCTGCCATCTACCACTGTCATGGACCCCAAAAAAGGAACTTGGAGGGGCCCACATGCCAGTAGTACATTCCTCCAGGGCTGCTGCTTGACAGGGAGTGGGGATGTTATCTGCCTGAGCACAGCTGATAGTGCCTTATGGAGAGATGTCACATGCCACCTCAATGGAGGATCAACACAGAGAATTTGAGGTCAAGTGTTTAGGCTGAACAATTTCTATTTATATAAAGGAGGGTCCAGGGAGAAGCAGAAGGGTAGGAAAAGACTGGCTTAGCCTGGGTGCCGGCCGGCAGGATGACAGCCAAGGGCAGAATGGAGCTTACGGCGCCTCCAGGTACATAGCTCCCTTTAATGCTGAGCCCTCCACTGCCAGACTCTCCGGTCAGAGCTCGAGTCCCTTTGTCTCTAGATGGCCTCTGTATATGAACTAGCACGAGCCCACGTGGGAGAAACATGCCCTGTGACTGGCTGTGAATGTCATGGGGACTGTCCCCCCGCTTCATGGCTGAGAGAGCCTCCAGTGAACACAGAGTGGAGAAGGTGAGAGGCTCTTCAATTCTGCAAGGACCAAAAAGAGCACACATTCAATTTTTGGAGACCTCAGCTCTTCGTGAGAGGCAGAGCCCTAGATAATGGACCACACAGACAGCCCCTCCCTCTCCTAACTGAACAGAGTACAGGGTGACAGTCATCCAGAGACACCATGGATCTAATTCCAGCTCTTGGCTCTGCTGACATCTGGTTGAAGGAGGGATTTCTGAAACCCAACAGCGCTGTACAATGAGATTCCTCTCCTCAGGAGCTTAAGAAATCACCAAACACAAAGCCAAGTGGGCGTCCAGCCTCGATCTCAGTCCTCCAGAGCCAGAGTCCCCGGGATGGAGGCTGGGAATGTGCACGTGACAAAGAACTC